CAGTCCGACAAGTAGGGTACAATTCCTAACCCGCTTCTCATTGGTTGTTTGCACGAGAAATATCATTAAATTGCGTAGGGCTTGGAAAGTTGGATGATTCCTAACCACTCGCAAGCCTGACATTCACCTGCTGTACTGACGAGAACCATACCTCTTCCATTATTGCGTGACATGGCAATGTCTAGACAACACAAATCCTCCCTGAATTCTGATTAGCTCTTGTTCACAAGAGTCCACATTAGCCTTGATTTTTTAGGCATAACAATAGTATTGATGTTAGAGAGAGATATTTCATTCCTAGACTTTGCACCCATTGAAGGTAACATGCTAGAAAAAATCATAGAGGAGTATCAGCAGCTTCTGGAATTTGAGGAGAATGTCCAATCTAGAGGTAGGCATTTGGGACTAGGGCCAAAAACCCAACACAAAAACCGGTCCTGGAGGCCTGGTCCCGTTAGTAGGGCCGGGCTTTGGCTCAAATTTTTTTTGTCTTTTTTCATTTTAGTCCCCTGCACAATTACATAAAACCCAATAAATTTAAAAAAACATAAATTACAAGGGTTAAAATAAATTTACAAAATTTATAAAATTTTTTTTACTAACCTTTGGCTGCAGCCAATGGTATATTTGTAAATTTTAACTTTTGATTTTCATTCCCCACACACCCCCCCCCCCCCCCCCCAACCCTATACTATACATTCGAAGATGGAGAGGGTGCGCACGGCTATCAGATTTATCGTCAGCGGTAGCAATAAAAGTTGGCAAGAGTACATCAAATATTATAAGCAAGAGGACCCACCGATTCGACCTTTGAAGTTATATACGGACATGCCTATTCGCTGGAACTCCACCTACTTGATGTTGGAAAAAGCTCTGCCAACCGCGAAACAAATTACAAATTTCGTCAACCGGAAGCACTATCCAGAAGAAGTTGTCAGCTATGATGATTGGGCGGTTTGTGAATTTTTTTTATCAATTTCTTCAAATTTTTTATGATGCTACTAATACATTAAGTGGTATTTATTATTCAACTACTAATTTAGTGTTAGATATTTTACTTCAAATTGCTAAAACTTTTGCTAAATATAGATATAATAACGATTTAACGGAAATTGTTTTAATGATGGAAGAAAAATATGAGAAATAGTGGTTAGATATTCTATTCTTATATGGATTAGGCCTTGTTCTAGATCCTATGTTTAAATTACACGTAGTTAACTGTATAATTACTGAGTTAGGCCAGCATTTAGGACATGATTATACGTCTTATTTGACTAACTTTAAACAAAAATTGGATAGCATTTTTTCTTTATATGAGAACAGGTACAATGGAAGTGGAAGTGGAAGTGGAACGTCTAAGAGAGAGGATCAATACCTTAATCTCCGTCAAGGATCGAGCAAGTGGATGTATGTGGAACGTGGCAGAAGTAGCAACTCCAGCTTGTATATACATGGACCAAATGAGCTGAATCGCTACCTACAAGTGGACTTGTCCTTTATGACGATGAAGGAGCAACATGATATGGATATTCTTCAATGGTGGAACTAACATAAAAGTCGATTCCCCATTGTAGCCCAAATGGCACGTGACATTTTATCTATGCCGGTTTCTACAATTGCATCCGAGTCAACATTTTCAACGAGCGGTCGGATTGTTGAAGACAAAAGATGTTTTTTAACCGATATGATGATTGAAGTGATAACGTGTTTACGGGATTGGACTCATGCAGAAAAAAGACTACAACAGCACTCTGAAGATCCCGAACTACTCAAACTCTTTAGGAATACAGTTTTGAATGATGTAAATATTGTTGACGATGAAAATGAATAATTTAATAAAAAAATTATTTAATTGTTTATTTTTGAAACGTGAATGTGTGAAATGTGAATTTATGTTAAAAATTAAAATTAACTATTAATTTATTTTTTATTTTTTTATTTTTTTAAATTAATTAAATTTTCAGAAACTTACTAATCTACTCCTAAAAAATACTAAAAACCCCCTATAAAATTTCATTTCGGCCCTAAAATATAAAAAAAGAACAGGAGAGAAAAGAAATTATCTAGACCCATAGGACCGATCCTAGGCCCATAGGACCAGTCCTAGGGACCGGTTCGAGTCTCATATTTCTCATGAGCCTGGGACTGGTCCCATTCCCAAAGGACCAGCTCTAGTCGTCTCAGGCCCATGAGCGACTGGTCCCATTCCCAAAGGACCGGCTCTAGTCCAATCAGATTCTCCATTTTCTTTGTGACTAATTCCTGTTGATGATCAAAGAGGAGGCATATGAATTGTTCGTCGGACTTGTATCATATCAATTAAAATAAAGTGAAGCTGCTGTCACATACCTACTTTCCTCATTTTCTGACTTTATAGTAGAGATGGCAATGGGCCCGACATTTTCGGGTACCCGGTCGGGCCCGGCCCGAAAGGGGCGGGCTTGGGCTTGGGCCTGGGCTTGATTTTAATACCTAACCTCAGCTACGGGCCGGGCATGGGTATATCTTTAGGCCCGGCCCGGCCCGGCCCATCCCATCCCAAAAATTTTAGTATTAATTTTACTAATTTACCCTTATACTATATATTTAATTACAATATTATCTTACATATATATATCCATTTTTTCCAAACCCTAACCTCAATTTTCATCCCATATTGAGGGTTTAACATGTTAAAATTGCTTTTAAATGAGTTACATGGGTTTGGTTCAACTTACAAAAGTGGATTTTACCATAACATATTATGCACAGCTGAAAAGTTAGTATAATCAAATATTATGGAGTTTTAATTGCTCACTTATTGCTTAAATTATTTGCAGAAATAGCTTCAATTAATATTTAAAAACTATTTCTAAAATTTGAAATATAAACAAAATTTGAAATTTATTAATATTTAAAAATAAACATTATTAAAAAAGGCGGGCTTGGGCCGGGCCTGTGGTTATAAAAAAACCCGTCGGGCTAGGCTTGGGCTTTGCCTATCATACCCGTAGTGGGCTCGAGCCGGGCTTGGGCCTATGTCATGAGGTCAGGCTTGGGCCTAGGCCAAAGGGTACCCGGTCCTGGCTCGGCCCATTGCCATCACTACTTTATAGTATGATAAATATTAAATAATACTAGTGCTATGCTATTTTAACTCCACTCCTTTTCTTTTCAACTTTATTCAGACTTTAGAATCGGACAAACTAATTATAGTACACAATACAACAGAAAAACAAATGTCTTATGTCTCAATTCATATGATCCATTGCTTAGATTCTCTCTACCCTCTCTCCAAATAATTGCCCTCTTTCCCCGTAATTTGCAGGTCTAATTACATTACTCAAGGTTTGCAGTTTTAATTTGATAACTTGTTGTGTATGTAGATGAACACGTGCTTACAATTTCCTCGCAGATTTAGTTATTACAATAAATAACTTTGTAATGTTTTGAATTATAATGTAATTATTTCTGGGTGATCGAGTGGTTTGATAATAACTTTTGGGTGTATTACTAAAGAGGTCTTGAGTTCGAGTCTCTCATTGGTTGTTAATAGAAGTAGCCATTGAAACTCTTATTGGATTGAAGGGTCTAACCGGTCCAACCGGGTTTCGTCAAGAATTTCGGCTCATTAAGAGTTAAAAACCAGTATTTTCATTTAAACCATTTTTTACTGTTATCAGACCATCATAATAGTGTCAGACTGCTGGTCCAACCAGATTAGATAAAAATCTGATCCAACCGGATCAGATAAAAATTAAAAGGCAAAATCCCTGCCTTTTTCGCTTCAGCCTTCGTTTCTTTAATCTTTCATTTGTTTCTTCGTCTTTCTCCGGCTTCTAATCCAACTTCATTCATCTTCTCTTCCACCTTTATTCATCTTCAGTTAGATTCAAGCTTAGAAAGGGAAAGAAAAGAAAGATAAAGGAGAAGATATGAAGAAGCGAAAGAAGAAAGTAAAGAGGACGGAGAGAGAGAGAAAAAAAAAAGATGAAGAAGAAGAAGAAGACCTGAAGACACAGAAGAAGAAAGAGAAAAGGAGGTGAGAAGAGAGGAGAATAGGAAAGAAGTGAAGAAGAAAGAGAAGAGAGAGACGGCAAAAAAGAGAGGGAAACAAATAATAATAAAATAAAGAAGAAGAAAGAGAAGATGATGTGACATAAATATAAAGAAGAAAGAGACGACGGAAAGAAAGAGAGGAAAAAAAAATGAAGGAGAAAAGACGAGAGAGAAGATGAAATGACATGTGAGGAAAATATATATATATATATATNTATGAAAGTTCCAATTGACTGTAGAGAGAAATAGCATCATCATACTGGTGCAAAATCTAAAATTCTTTCATTAAGATATTTGGTTAGTGCAATAGGATTCAATATTTCATCTGTTTACGTGTTCTAAATTAATTTTAACCCACCCATGGGTAGTGAACGGTCGGAAATGGTATAATCCACAGTCTCAGGTTCTAATTTCTCAATTAGACGTATGATTTATTTAGGGGATTATAACGGTAGATTATTGTGGGATAACGTTCTGCGGATTATAAATTAGAAATAAAAACAAAGTATTTTTTTTTTTTTTTAAAGTTCAAATAATATTTAAACTTTGAAATTATTTTATTTTTCATATAAAAAAAGGACTTCGAGATTTTATAAAAAATAAAGAGATGAAAGATGGTGGAAAATGTAATATAATATTTCGCTAATTACAAACTAGAAATCTAAATATAACTATCATTTCTAATAACTTTAAATATGGAGATAATTTGTGTAAAGAAATAAAATCGGTGTATTTAATTATTGGGGTGACCAATTAAATAAAATTTATTTATTAAAATATGTAGTGTGTTTTATAGTAAATAAATATAATTTCTCTTTTATTTAAAGTAATAGTCCTAAAGTAACGAAGAGAAAGGAACAACTCCATTCCGCAAACAAGATGGATTAAAATTATATTGGGCCTAATACAACCTGGACCAATTCAATCCAATCCACACTCTTTTAGTTTTTGATTAACACTCCGCCTGAGCCAAAAACCCTAGAACTCTCTTGCTCTTTCTCTCACTCTGCGCAAAGGGCATCAATCTCTTATCGTCTACAGAGCACTACAGCTGGGATTCGGCAGAATTCCTGGCTGAAACTAAAACCAATAGCAATCATGGGGGACGTTCTGATTATGAACCAGACGGAGGAGCTGGCTTCTCGTCTCGGCATCGATCTCACTCAAGTTGATCTCGATTCTGTTCACGTCCCACCCGGCGAAAATTGTGGCATCATTAGGTATGATAGTTCACGCGTCTCTACTCTATTCTTACCTTCGTTTGGTTTGCTTGCCAAGGAGCTGTAGGAAATTAATAGAAAATTTAATTCCTTATTTTTATGCTGCTGTGTTTGAGTGCTGTTTTGTGATTACCTGGCTTCGTGGAGTTCAGTGTCTGTTATTGTTTATTAAATCTAAACGCTGTGAAAACTTAAGCTAAATAAATTAGGGTTTTGTTTTTAGGTTTAAGGTAAATCACGCATGTTGTTCTACGTTGAGGTTATTTCCTGTTGGATAAATACATATTTTTTTCCAAGGCCAAACAAACAATAATATGGAACAGATGGACCGAACTTTTACCCTACAACTTCTGCGTGGCCTTACTAAGCTTTAACACGTCTGAGTATAATACTGAAAGTTTTCTCTATTTTCGTTTCCTCTGTTTTTATTTTTAATTTCTGTCGGTTAAATTTTCTGTTTACTTTCATAACTCATTTGTGTGTGATTTAATTATGGTCTATTGTATTCTTTTGAGTAGTGATGATGACGATGTATACGAAGATGATCAGCAGGAACTTGATTCTGGGTTTGGTAATATTATTGTTGTTGATAATCTACCCGTTGTTCCTCGAGAAAAGTTTGAGAAGCTTGAAGGTGTTATTCGCAAGATCTATAGTCAGATTGGTGTTATTAAGGAAGATGGATTATGGATGCCCGTTGATCCTGAAACCCAGAAGACTCTAGGTTACTGCTTCATTGAGTATAATACCCCTCAGGTATTTATATTGAATTGTAATTTAGGATATTTTGAATGGCAGTTGCTCTTTTCTCAAGGTTTTAACTCTAAGCTGTAGATGCTGGTGCATGAAATACTAATTCAACTTTGGTTTCTGTTGTAGGAAGCTGAGCTTGCCAAGGAGAAAACTAATGGTTACAAGTTGGACAAGGCGCATATTTTTGCGGTGAATATGTTTGATGACTTTGATAAGTTTATGAAAGTTCCAAATGAGTGGGCTCCACCAGAATTTAAGCCATATACACCAGGGGTAATTCTTTTAATAAGTAATTTACTTGTTATATTTACCCTTTTTTTTTCTCTGTGTGAGCTGATGTTACTTGCTTGTATATCATATCAGGAGAATCTCCAGCAGTGGCTCACTGATGAAAAAGCACGAGATCAGTTTGTGATTCGTGCTGGCACTGATACTGAGGTTTTATGGAATGATGCAAGGCACTTGAAGCCTGAGCCTGTTTACAAGCGCACTGTGAGTGAACTCCCCATTTGCCTGACGTTATCGAATGACACTGCATTAATATCTATAGTTGTATCTCTTTTTGTTATTTCAAAAATATTGTTTCTATACAACATAAGTCACAGTTTCCTTTTTTATTAAATGATGGTTTGATGAATGACTATAGTCTGTTTCCTTCACAGTACTGGACCGAAAGTTTTGTGCAGTGGTCCCCTCTAGGTACTTACCTGGCCACAGTTCACAGGCAGGGTGCTGCTGTTTGGGGAGGTGCTGCTACTTTCAATCGCTTAATGCGTTATGCTCATCCTCAGGTGAATTTTTATTCTTGTTTCATACTGTATCTAGCCTTATCTCTGGCTCTTCTTCTATAAAGTCTTACTGGCACAATTGCAGGTTAAACTGATTGATTTTTCTCCTGGTGAGAAATATTTGGTTACTTACAGCAGCCAGGAACCAAGTAATCCTCGTGATGCGAATGTGAGATGTTTTTACTCCACTTATTTCTACTTCTTTTTATTGTTGATTATTACCTCTGAGCTGTTCCTCATGTGGACTGAATTTAACTTTTAGAGGGTTGTTTTAAACATCTTTGATGTGAGAACTGGGAAAGTGATGAGAGATTTTAAAGGAAGTGCTGATGAGTATGCAGTTGGAGGAACAGGAGGTGTTGCAGGAGTGTCTTGGCCTGTTTTCAGGTGATTTTTCTTTCTAAGCAATCTACTTGGAGCTGTGAAGAGCTTTGTTTTTGTCTTCTATGTAAAAAATCTTCTCCAGTACTGATGGATTAGTATGTAAATTTTCCAGATGGGGTGGCGGGAAAGATAAGTATTTTGCCAAACTTGGGAAAAATGCGATCTCTGTCTATGAAACTGAGACCTTCACTCTTATTGACAAGAAATCCTTGAAGGTTGAAAATGTTATGGACTTCAGCTGGTCCCCAACTGATCCTATTCTTGCACTGTTTGTTCCTGAGCTTGGTGGTGGAAACCAGCCTGCTAGGGTGAGTACTTACTTAAATATGGAGTTGCATTTATATTTTCATATGATTAGTTCTTATGTCCGTCTTTCATCTATTTCCTAGGTGAGTCTTGTCCAAATCCCCAGCAAAGAGGAGTTGAGGCAGAAGAACCTTTTCAGTGTCAGTGACTGTAAGATGTACTGGCAAAGCAATGGAGAGTATCTTGCTGTCAAGGTTGATCGCTATACAAAAACCAAAAAAAGCACATACACTGGCTTTGAGTTGTTCCGAATTAAAGAAAGAGACATACCCATTGAGGTTTTGGAGCTTGATAATAAGAATGACAAGATCATCGCCTTTGCCTGGGAGCCAAAGGGCCACAGGTTTGCGGTTATTCACGGTGATAGTCCAAGACCTGATATTAGTTTTTACACTATGAAAACCGCAAACAATACTAGCCGGGTATCAAAGCTCACTACTCTCAAGGGAAAACAGGCAAATGCTCTTTTCTGGTCACCGTCTGGCCGTTTCATAGTTCTGGCCGGACTCAAAGGTTTCAATGGTCAATTGGAATTTTACAATGTTGATGAGCTTGAAACAATGGCAACAGGTGAACATTTTATGGCGACAGATATAGAATGGGATCCTACTGGAAGGTAATTTATGATGATAACTGTTCCATGGCTTCATATCGACTGAATTTAACTGTGCAACTGTTCTAATTAGTCTCTGGGAAAAATGTGTTTTCATTTCAAATAGCTTGAAGGCTTCTCTCTTTATCTCTCATTTTTGTTTGTCTCTTGATATTTACTTGTAATTTAGTTGTGATTGTATTTCCTGTTTGCATTTTTATAGGTATGTTGCAACTGCTGTGACTTCAGTTCATGAGATGGAAAATGGTTTCAATATATGGTCCTTCAATGGCAAATTACTTTATAGGACTCTGAAGGATCACTTTTTCCAGGTAAGATGAGTCATTATTACTCTGTTTATTGAAGGTTGATATAATTCTATCAACCAGTTGTTTATTTTATGTTATGCAATACTTGGAAGAAATGATTTTCATGATTTCTCAGTTGTAGAGTACTTCGAGTTACGTTTGTAAATTGTGTGAAAGGTGGCATTGATCATAAGTGTAACATTTGTGCATAATGATCCCATCTCATGGGGCCCTTTATTTATTTTTATTTTGTTTCGCTCTGGCAAGTAGCTATAATAAAAAAGTTAATTATATGTTTGGTTAGTGTAACTGTTGGATGTGGACTGTTCTGATCTGATTATTTTGGACTTCTTTTTTTTGATTGTTACAGTTCTTGTGGCGGCCAAGACCACCATCTTTCTTGAGTCCTGAGAAGGAAGAGGAAATTGCAAAGAATTTGAAGAAATATAGCAAGAAGTATGAGGCAGAGGACCAGGATGTGTCATTGCAATTGAGTGAGCAGGAGCGTGAGAGGCGGAGAGCATTGAAGGATGAATGGGAGAAGTGGGTCAATAAGTGGAAACGCTTGCATGAGGAAGACAAATTGGAAAGACAGGGGTTGAGGGATGGAGAAGCCAGTGATGAAGAAGAGGAATACGAGGCTAAAGAAATTGAAGTTGAGGAAGTGCTGGATGTTTCAGAGGAGGTGGTTTTTTTTGACTAGTGAGTGTCTAAATTGCTATTTTTAGAAAGCCGGAACCTGCCTTTCTTCAGATTACAACATGCAGCAGACATATCTTGTAGACAAACAATTTAAGTGGAGGTTTTGAGAAGCTAATTACGATACAAAGGGATGACATAATATTGATTGTCAGGTCTACTAGAGATGGCTTTTCTTGCCGTTGAAGTTTGAAAGAGTCCCCTGGGAGTAGTGTTTGTGTTTACTACTTCCCCCCCTTTTTTTTCTCAATTTAATTTCTTGAAGAATTTTGTTAAGTTATGACTAACATATTTCTTGATGTTATAATGCTTTCAGATGCCAATCAATTTTGTTGTCTGGTTATTCATTTTTTGGTTGTAACTGCAGTTATGAATGGATATCAAAGTAGTAAATTTCTTTTAGCTTTTTAATCAAAACAATATATGGTGGACTGCCAAATGCCTATCACACGAGTGGGATTTTGTTTGAATATCAGGGCGTTCTTTTGAAGGAAGCATTTTGTGAATAGAATAATGCATCTGACAGGAACAATGTCTTGTTTGTTCATTGAAACGGACCTACACCCACTACATCCAGAAAGCTAATACTGTCTTCTAATGGGATATGGTGTGGAAGTGCTTAAAGAATTTTGGTGTTAAACGTTCCTCACTAGCAGCTATTTCCCACACTGTAAATCCAAATATTGTTGTGTAGTTGCTTTCAGTTTTATGGGCAAGTTCTTAAATGCTAGTGGAAGACGAAAGGGGTCAGGACTCAGGACTTGTTTTGGGTCATTCTACTTGAAGCGGTGATGGAGCAAGCACACCAATCAAGCTAGAAAATAATTAATTAATAATATTAGGTCTATAATCTAACTTTACAACCTTCTATTGCAACTCCCCTGACATAGCTAGTTGTCATTGGCCAGTTTGTATAATAGGTCCATATGCTTGTATGATCCCATATTATCTATAAATAATGTCGACAAAATAATTATTCACGATAGGAATAGAGTACTTTGAAAAAAACAAAACACACGCAACCTATGTTAGGTTTGTTTGTGTACAAGAGTTTAGATATTTTAGAATAAGAATGATGGTCCACCATGGCTTGTTAGTAGAACCACTTGCAAGTTAGTAAAATATTTGGGTAGTAATTGCTAAATCCCCTAATGCGGGTATCTTTAAAAGACAAAAGATATTAATTAAAGGGATTCTAAAATCTTAAAAGCTTTTACGACATTGGTGATTCTATAATGGCCACACCCACGACACAAACTGTCTTTAGAAATTACATGTGATATGATTCATGAAAAGTATTTATGGTGTTGAGATAATATATGTTTGATGAAACATAAATAAAAGATGGATAATAGAGATTTTTTTTAGTGGTTCGGATGCTTAAAGCGAATCCTACATCCACTGTTATTTTATTATTCTCTGACTATTTTTATGATATTGTCTATAAGGCGTACAAAAATGGAGAAATACTTTATTTATAGAGAAAAATAATGAAGCTCAAATCTATGTCTAGCTCTCATATGTCCAACCTCTCTTTTTTATGAGGAGAGGTGCCCATTTATACCTTTGAAGTCAATGTAATGAGTGATTTTGCAAGTTGCCTTGACACTTGAGAACCACTCCTTAATCTTTATCTTAAAATGGGATAGGATTAATATAAAATATCTCTTGGAGGCGGTTTGGGTTTTTGACAACTAATACTACAATGTCTTTAAGTGCTCGTTAAGCTCTAATTGGTGGTGTTGACATCAGTGTGTATTTTTGGCACAACAGAAGAACCACCCCCCCCCCCCCCCCCCCAGTTTTTGGAGTGTGTAATTGCACTTAAAAAACTCATATCTTAGATTTGAATGGCTATCGCATTATAAGCTGTAGTCTTGAATTGAAGAGCTCGAACTATGTTTGGTGTGAATCGTGATCGGGTGTTGAGAGTTAGGACTACGATCTGAGCGCTTGGAGTGATCCGAAGTTGAGGGGGATCTAATAGCTAACATAAAATGTCTAGTAGATGAATTCCTAGAGACTAAGTAAGAAGCCCAAACGCACGGCTCAGAGGCCTTAAACGGACAAGCCAACTTAAAACAGCCATAACTTTTGATCCAAGAGGAGTTTTGGAGCTCGTAAGATATCCATGGAAAGCTCATTTTGAGCTCTAAGTCATGGAAACCAAGGAACCCAATTAAGACCATTTTTGGGGATAAAATCCACTGTTTCGGCATGTTTCGGGGGCTATTCCAAGTTTTCGATGCGTTTTTTTTACGCTGGCAGCTAGTCGCATCTAAGAACTGAGAACTAATCGCGATCTGAGAGCTAAGAACATGATTTGAGGCTGTTCACAATCTTAGAGCTGAGAGTTGATCGCGATTAGATAGGGGCTCGATTTGAGAGCTTGAGGTGTGCGATTTGAACAATCTGATGCACGCGATCTCAAGCAAATGAGCTAGCTTATGAGCTCAATAAGAGAGCATAAAGAGCTCGATCATAGAGCATAAATAGCTCAATCTGAGAACTCGAGAGCTCTTTAAGATCCGAGAGCTTGAGAGCTCTTTGTGATCTTAGAGCACAAGGAGTTTGATCAGAAAGCATATAACACAAAGAGCTCTGATGCGTGCGATCTAGCCACGCGATCCGAAAGCTCTAACACGTGTGATCTGCGATCTGACCATGGGGTTTGAGAGCTCTAACGCTTGCAAATTGCAATATGGCCAACTGGTCTGAGAGCTTTGACACATGCGATCTGTGATCTGGCCACGCGGTCTGAAAGCTCTGATGCGTGCGATCTGCAATCTGGCTAAGCGATCTAAGAGCTCAGATGTGTGCGATCTAAGATCTGGCCACATGATCTGAAAGCTCTGATGTGTATGATCTGCGATCTACCCAGGCGATCTGAAAGCTCTAATGCATGCGATATGTGATCTAGCCACACGATCTGAGAGCTCTGACGCGTACGATCTGCGATCTGGCCACTCGATTTTAGAGCTCTGATCTGGAACATGCTTCAGTATTTTGACGATAACTTGAGACCTTGAATTTGGATGATTTTTAGACCATTGGAAAGCTAACTCGAAGGGATACAACTCTTGTGTTTACCGCTTTGCCAGATTCAGACTTTATCTTGCTCAGATTAGCACATCTGATAACATGAAGATTTTGAGGCTTGTTGGAAAAACACGGAAAGCTGGTGTGAATCATTCCCTCCCTTTAGCGCCAAACTGTTGATGCACGATTTTGATACCAACGAATCGCACGTGCAAAGTGCTAAGTTGTCCATAGAAATTACATGTGATATGATTCATAAGAAGTATTTATGGTGCTGAGATGATGTATGTTGGATGAAACATAAATAAAAGATGGACAAGAGGGATTTTTATAGTGGTTCGAATGCTTAAAGCGAATCCTACATCCACTCATCCATTGTTATTTTATTATTCTCTGACTATTTTTATGATATTGCCTGTAAGACGTACAAATATAGAAGCTTAAATCTATGCTCAGCTCTCATATGCCCAACCTATCATTTTCATGAAGAAATGTGCCAATTTATTCATTTGAGGTCAATGTAATGAGTGCTTTTGCAAGTTACTTTGACACGTGGGAACCGCTTCTTAATCTTTATCTTAAAATGGGATATGATTGATATAAAATATTTTTTAGAGGCGGTTTGAGTTTTTGATAGATAATACCTTATTGTCTTAAAGTGTTTGTTAAGCTTTAATAGGTGGTACTGACATGAGTGTGTATTTTTGGCACAACAAAAGCAAATAAGCAATAGCCGAAATTGTAATTGCAAGCTGCCATTATGGAAGTATGTCTCTGTCACTTCTCACCCACACCCACTTCAAGATTACTTTACTTTATGTCCATTTTTTTTTCCTTTAAGTCTCACCTGTCAATCATTCACACTCTTCTTCTTCAATCTCCCCCAACTCTCTACACTCACTTTTTTGTTGATTTATTCACTAACAAATTAGACCTTGACATCTTGTTTCCTGCATTATTATTAACTGTTAATCTGTCCCAAATCCCATGATTAATTAATTCGTTATGAAATGAAACAACTTGCTATGATTCTTCCCTACAAATCTTGTTGCTTCCTCTTTCTTGTTCACTTTTCTTCTAAGTGTGAAATAAAAAGGATAATGAGAACTCAGAAGCTCATTTATTTCTTCTACCTTGGTCACTCTTTTCAAGTGTGAAATTAAAGAAAGAAAAAGTGGCCATCAGTGTGAATTTAAGAAGATATTATTGTGCTGATCTTAGTCCAAAGAAAAGA